GTTGGCCTGGTCAACGTGTCAATCAGCCATTCGCGAGTGCACAGAACGCGAGCTCCTAAAATATCACCATATTCCGAATGCATAGCTACAAGTTAGGTGGGGTAATATAGTTATTTTAACTATCCTTATTAGAAAATTACCCCAATTGGCTGCCGAATGTGTGAAACTATGTAAATTTTCATTTTGTCTAATATAATTATTTTACGGAATATCAAAAAAAAAAACAGAAAAGTAAGGTGGGTATGATTCTATTGGAAAGTAATCCGGATTCTAGCCGGAGAAGTTACCAATCGAGGCAAAATTAGCACCTTAACATATTCATCGTCATTATTAACTCAGATTTTGCCAATACTTTCCCATTTCTTTTGTTTTATTTTATCTTATTTAACTATTTTTTTAACTTTAAAAAGGGAAAAATTCGTACAACTACGCCTTTCTCATAATTTCCTGGACTTTAAAGCCGTTACTATTTCATCTTTTACCTTTTCTTTTGCCAGCAGAAATTATATCAATTTTCCATCACCGTTAAATTTTCGTCATCTCGACACTTTCCGTACACTTCGCACAGCCCTTTGTTGGTTAAATGGGCCCCCGCTCTCTGACTTTTCAAAACCGTGGGCTACAAAGACCCGATTGAATTGCCATAGGCCCATAGGCCATAGCTATCCGTGTTTCCTTTCCTTATTTCACTTCTTGCCCGACCCGATCACCAGACGTTCTCAATGTTTAAATTGATTTGGTCTCTTTTGTATTGCAGATTCAGAGATCCATTCGTACTGTTGCGCCAATTACAGTGCACCACGTCAGTTCTACATACATGGGTCCCATGTATCAAGTTGATGTGTCATATCGGAAACGGATTGGACCAAATCGGATCATGTTCCCAAACCCATGAATAAATGAATAATCAATAATCAATAAGGGGTCAGATTAAGTCCGGATCTCCACTTACCAAAGGGACAAGGGCGTCTGACTAAAAGATAACTTTTCCTTGTTATAAGAAATGATCGGATCTGAAAAGGAAACTGAACCCAGATCCGCCCTGTCGGTCATGTATAATAATTGATTGTCCTAGTTTTCTTTTTCTTTTTAAATTTTTTTCTAATAATTCCCATGATTAAGCAGCTGTGGAGCTGAGGGGAGATATTGCGTGAGTCATACCGACTTCCCTATTTGGTTTGACCTATTACATGGTTTGCAGCATCTGGGTCGCTGGGCACTGGGCAGGTTGCTCTTGGCGAGTCACGAGCCTAACGGTCCAACTCTCTGACTACCAAACCGTTGACCCAAGTTCACGTGGCGGACCAAGTTGTCTGGTGATCCGATCTGGTCCAGATTCCACAACTGTGTAGAATAGAAATTCAGGGACACTGTCAGCCCGGGTCAATAGGAATTTGGGTTGTCCTCGATATATATAAGATTTTAAATGAAAAAAAACGATTGAAGCTTTAGTTTAGTTCTGATCCAACGTTTTCATTGGCCTCTTTTTCAACCGTGTTTGGATACCAAAAGCCAAATTCCAGAATGACTTCCACACTTCCACTTCCTCCTCTTTTTGGGGATTCCAAAATCACTTTGATTATTTATATATCTCAAATGACTGAAGTGGAATTAGAATTACCCCCTTTTGAAATCCTCCCACTCCCGGAATCAGATGTCCAAATCATATGATTACGATTTACCAAGGGGGGTCATTTGGAGGAATCCGGGCATCGTAAATGGTATTACTATTTCCGCATGAATAATGTTTCCAAGAGCACTGGCGCAGACAAGGACGCCTGTGCAAGAGCTCTCAACCCACTGATTTGCTTAGGATTGGGGCTTAATATTAGGTGGACTCTATTGACAGTACAAGAGGTGGGTCCCGATGTTGCTAGAATTGAAAACAATATAATGGAAGGTCTCTGTATGGTCCAATGCTAATTGCAATCACACAGTATCCCCCTCCCCCATCCTTTCCAGTTTCCACCCCTAATCCATATGATAAAAATCTTTCATTGTTTCACACAAATGACTTCATTTGTAAATCCATTGCCAAATGATAACAAAATCAGGACTTAATTCATCACATGAAATCCTTAACTTTATAGGCACATTTAGCATAACAATTAACAGATTCATTTCAAATGGAATGTATTAAGTTGGATTATTTCCATTTCTGAATCTGAACCTGAAATCTGCTGTCCAAAGTTAAAACCAGAATCAATTAGACATTACAAAAAAAAAGGTAAATTACAGCAAACACTCCTTTAGTTCCTTTATCTGTCTATTTTATTTATTTATGGTGAAAAGTTCACTGACCTTTTCTATTTTTGAAAAATATTTTTGATCTACCTTATTATGCATTTATTTTTTCCTTATGATCACTTTATCTCCCTTCTGCTAGGAATCCATCAATAAGGCTTCCAGTACCTCATCATGTGACATTTAAAGTATTTCAAAATCCCCAAATCACCCTTGGCAAATGTTTAGGCAATGGAGATCTTCACTTCATTTCATTGGCAATTGATGAGTTCTTCATCAGCATTTGAAGGACCACTCATGACTTCTCACTTGTTCATTTTTATTCTTTTTCCAACAGTGAAAGGCAAACTCAATTTAGTATTCCTGGTAATTCTATTTGGTCAAAGTTTTTTTTTCTTTTTGTCCAATAGTCTTGTTTCTTTAGCCAACAGGACATTAGGCCATTAATGTTAATTGCATCATCTCTGTTCATGAGGGAAGGTAACTAGGTAAGGTCAACAAACATTTTTCAAGAAATAGGAGAGCTCAGTTAACTTTTCTAAAAAATATAAGGAGTGTGGGTGTCTTTTTACCAAAATAGAATAGTTCACAAATTTTCAAAACTTGGAATCTGTAAGAAAATAGTAGGAGAAGATATCAATCAAACCTTTCCCATTCTTCCTCTTTATTTATTTTTTTTCAAATAAAGTATAAGAACCTCAAGTTTGACAAAATTTGTAGATAAAAATTATTTTGAAAAATTGCCCCAAAATAAATTATCTCCTCCTATATGCTCTTCTAATCAGCTTTCTAACCAGCCAAAATAAAATACTCAAATATTTTACTGATTATAAGAAAATCATTGACCCATTTATTATTAGTTCCCATTTCCTAATTAAGACATGATTTTATTAATATTATATATTTATATTATTAGTTCTCATTTCCTAATTATGATTTTATTAATATTAATATTATTGTCTAGTAAATATTTGACTTTTTTATGTATTCTGCAGTAAAAATTAAAGAAAGACAGTAATTCTGAGCTGCTTTAGATGTCTTATACGTATTTGTCAATGTTGGAAACATTAGTACTTTAGTAGTAATGACTAGGCATGGGCTAAGTGTAAAGATGAAAGCAACTTCTCTCCTATATGTTTCCCACACATAACCTTCTATACCCAAAACACATACTTTTTAATAATAAAGGTTGTTATTTCTAGAAGCATATGAAGCTCTAATAGATTAATTTGAAAATGTTACAAGTAAGACAATTACTTTATTTTGTTTATTGTATTATTTTTACTTGCATACATTTAGATATATTTTCTGTGCAAGAAGCCTAGATTAACGGGTTTCTTAATAATATTATACCTTGGGAGATTAGGAAGTTACTAACACATTTAGTGACAGGGACTTAGAAATTTAGGTTTTGGGAAGGAAGAAGCACCAGAAGTCTTGAAGGAGACTACTTAATTCTCTCTCTCTCTCATGTACACACAGTGAGTGATGAGTTAAACTAAATAGAAAAGTTGGTGAGGTTCTCCTTTTCCTAGTTTATTGGAAGTTTGGAACTAGGGTCCCCCCTCAGAGTAAATTCATTAAAACAAGTTGCAGTGACAAGAAGAGAACGCTTGAAATCACAAGACTGGTCTCTAATTGTGACCTTGTCATGAGTGCCTTTTGTACAGAGAATTTATATGTTACTATCCAATTAAGGATTAAAGGTATGTTGTCCTTTTCTCTTACGTAGATTCAAGATTTGCAGATTTTAGAGGCTAAAGAACAGGTTTGGCACATGCCCTTTGACATCATATTCTCATTTCAAAAAAAAAAAAGCTTTATACCATCACTATGGTAAGTGAAGAGTGAGGAGTGTAGTAGACCCTCACTCATTTGCTTACTGTTATTAGGTTGTATGAATTTAAACCCCAACCATATAATAACAACAATAATATTAAACTTAATGTGTTTTTCTTGTCTTATCCTCAAAAAATCAAACACCCCAATTTTGAGATCTGATGATTTTTCTATACACTAATTGTTCTCCAAGGGATCTTTTTCTTCTTTTCTTCTTCCTTTTCTTTTTCTTTTTTTTTTTTTTTTTTGGGGGGGGGGGGAGGGGGAGAAGGTAGAACTATCTATATGCACTACTTGGGCACACACAAAAGGGTCCAGCCATGGCTCAGGGCAAAGGTTAGAGATGACCCACTCGACTTATTTTCTCTCTCTCTCCCTTCCCTTGAATGTATGTTTGAGTTCAAAGGGACCATGTCGTACAAATTCTATTCAAATGTAAGCCCAGAAACTAGGCCTTGTCCAAGGAAAACAGCTCTCAAAACAGGGACTGGGGAGTAGGGGAAGAGAAAGGGGACCACATTTATTCTTTCTCTCTCCTTCCTTCCTGTATGTGTGAGAGAGCAGGAGCAACAATTTGATGCCGCAGAGAGTGTCCATGCCTTGATTGCACAAATATTTGATAAACTTTTCAAGAGGCTCACTTGTCTGTATTGGTCAACTCTGTCCAATGACTGCAAGAAAAAATAAATCAAGTAATATAAATAAATACAATAAATATAAATTCCAAGGTGGCCTCTCTATTCTTTTTTCTTTCTGTTGAAACTTGAAAATTGAAATAGAAATAACCCACATGAAGAACAAGGCAGAAAAGGAATGCAATTTGCAAAATAAAATTACAAGAAAAAAGAACTTAAAGAAATAAATGAAAAAAAAGAAACCTAAAAGAGAATTAAGATGAAAGAAAGAAACAAGAGGGGCTGGGGCTTCAAGAGAGAGTGAGAGGCCAAGTGACCAACAACATAAAAGAGTGGGGGAAGAGAGAGAAAGAGAGAGAGAGAGAGAGAGAGTGAAGAAATAAGAAAAACATGAGACTCCCATTTTTCTTTCTGTTTCCCAATTGTTTCTTTCTCAAGCTCTCCTTTTCTTCTGTCTCTTTGTTCTCTCTTCCCTTCTTCCTGCTATAACTGTAGCAGCAGCACTGCAGTGCAGCAGCTACAGCTAAACAACCCCACGAGGCCACGAACAGCTAAAAGACCCACAAATAAAATAAGCAGCAGAGGCCAAAGGTCGCATCTTTTTCCCCCAGATCGCCGGTTTCCCGCATGGAAGGCCGGCATAGAAGTGAATTCCAGCCACCGCCGGCGGATTTTTCCGTCTAAATGCAAGGAAAGAGCTGTCGAGCTGATGATGCCACTGTTGTTCCGACTTCCGATGATGATGACGACGATGGTGGACGAAGAAGATTATTAGCTATCCCCAGCGAGCGACTGCTGTCTTCTCTATTTATTTTTGCTACTATTCATTTACTTTTGTCTTCTTCTCTTGTCAAGTGGTGGTCCTGCTTCAAAGTACAACAATGGCTGCCACCGCAAATACTACAACGATAGACTCGACGGCAACGCTGTCGGCCGATGACCTGACGGCGAAGGCGGTGCACAAGCGGTATGAAGGGTTGATGACTGTGAGGACCAAAGCCATAAAGGGCAAGGGTGCTTGGTATTGGGCGCACCTGGAGCCCATACTGGTTCATAATTCCGATACTGGACTCCCCAAAGCGGTGAAGCTCAGGTGTTCTCTCTGCGATGCCGTTTTCTCTGCTTCCAACCCATCTCGCACTGCCTCCGAGCATCTCAAAAGGGGTACTTGCCCCAATTTTGCTTCTTTACCCAAGCCCATCTCCTCTGTTTCACCTTCTCCCATCTCCTCTATCCCTTCCCCTTCTTCCCACCACCACCCCAACCATCGCAAGCGTAGTGCATCAACTTCGGGCGGCGGTGCTTCCTCTTCGTCATATCAGGTCTCACCACTTGCCATGGTCGACCCTTCCCGCTTCTGTTCTGACCTCAGCTATTCTTCCGCAACGGCTGTCGCGACTTCCAGTGTCACTGCGGCTTTGCCTCCACCTCAGCAGCCACATTTGATGCTGTCGGGCGGGAAGGAGGACTTGGGTGCTCTCGCTATGCTGGAAGACAGCGTAAAGAAGCTCAAGAGTCCCAAGGCGTCTCCCGGCCCGACGCTTAGCAAGAACCAGATTGACTCCGCCTTCGGCCTCCTCGCCGACTGGCTCTACGAGTCCTGCGGCGCTGTCTCATTCTCTAGTCTCGAGCACCCCAAGTTCCGGGCTTTCCTAAACCAGGTAGGCCTGCCTCCGGTATCCCGCCGAGAGTTTGCGGGGTCCAGGCTCGACGCCAGGTTCGAAGAAGCCAAGGCCGAGTCGGAAGCGAGAATTAGGGACTCCATGTTCTTTCAGGTTGCGTCTGATGGGTGGAAGCCAAAGGTTTTCGGCAGTTTTGGTGGAGAAAACGTGGTGAATTTGACAGTAAACCTCCCCAATGGGACGAGTTTGTTCCAGAGGGCGTTGTTCACCAACGGCCCCGTTCCGTCCAAGTACGCAGAGGAGATCCTCTGGGAGACGATCACCGGCATATGTGGGAGTGTGGTGCAGCGGTGTGTGGGGATCGTTGGGGACAAGTTCAAAGCCAAGGCATTGAGGAATTTAGAAAACCAGAACCATTGGATGGTTAATCTGTCTTGCCAGCTTCAGGGGTTCATTAGTTTGATCAAGGACTTCAGCAAAGAGCTCCCACTCTTCAAGACTGTTACTGATAATTGCCTGAAGCTCGCTAAGTTTGTAAACACTAAGTCCCAGGTCCGGAACAGTTTCCACAAGTACCAACTGCAGGAGCTTGAGCATGCCGGATTGCTCCGGGTGCCACCGCCTGAGACGGAAAACAGTAGCAACTTTGCACTTGTGTACGCTATGTTGGAGGATATTATGGCCTCAGCTCGGGCACTCCAATTGGTAGTGTTAGATGAGTCGTATAAGGTGGTATGCGTAGAGGACCCTGTTGCAAGGGAGGTTGCAGACATGATCCGGGATATGGGATTTTGGAGTGAATTGGAGGCAGTCCACTCTCTGGTGAAGCTGGTAAAGGGGATGGCTCAGGATATTGAGGCAGAGAGGCCACTGGTTGGGCAATGTCTCCCGTTGTGGGAGGAGCTAAGGACAAAGGTGAAGGAATGGTGTGCCAAGTTCAACATTGCAGAGGGGCCTGTGGAGAAGGTGATCGAGAAAAGGTTCAAGAAGAACTACCACCCAGCTTGGTCAGCTGCATTCATACTTGATCCGCTTTACTTGATGAGAGACACAAGTGGGAAGTACCTTCCACCCTTCAAGTGCTTGACACCCGAACAGGAGAAGGATGTTGACAAGCTCATTACACGGTTGGTCTCAAGGGAGGAGGCCCATATTGCATTGATGGAACTCATGAAGTGGAGGTCAGAAGGGCTTGACCCACTCTATGCACAGGCTGTTCAGGTGAAGCAGCGAGATCCCTTGACAGGAAAGATGAGAGTTGCCAACCCCCAGAGCAGTAGACTGGTGTGGGAGACGTACTTGAGTGAATTTAAGTCACTGGGGAAAGTGGCAGTGAGGCTGATTTTCCTCCATGCAACCTCATGTGGGTTCAAATGCAATTGGTCATTCTTGAGGTGGGTGTATGCCCATGGCCGCTCTAGGGCAGCCATGGACAGAGCTCAGAAGATGATATTCATTGCAGCCCATGCCAAGCTCGAACGCCGGGATTTCTCCAATGATGAAGACAAAGATGCAGAGCTGTTTGCCACTATAAATGGTGAGGATGACGTGTTGAGTGAGGGTTTTGTTGATGCATCCTCCGTGTAACAATTTTTTTTTTCTCTCTCTTCACCCTTGTAGAATTCTGAAATTGTAGGATTTATTGAATTCTTTCCACTACTATTTTTCTCTTTGTCCATGTTTTTTTACTTACTCTCTCATCTAAATAGAAAGATTTTGAGGCAGTAGGGCGGGGGAGGGAGGTCTTTTTTGGGGTATTACTACTATCACTGAGGCCTCGGGATTCGAATGAATCAGCCATCTCCCGCCTGAGCATGATTTTGGGGTTATTGTGTTTGCACCAAAGGAAACTGTTCTTGTTTATAATGAGATAGACAATGGTGGAGGAAAAGAACAGGAAGAATGATGTAACATTTTGTTTCCTTTGAGGTAAATAATATTTATGAAGAGGAGGTTTTTTTTTTTCCTCTCATGCATGGTGTTAATTTCAGAAACTATTTTGTTATTATCATTCTTTCTTATTGGTTTTAAGAACCTGGGTAGCCAACCCACCATTGGTTTCATTATGGATAATTCATTTTTGGTTTAGGTAGGTAGTAAGCTGTAAAAGAAAAATGATGCTCTTCTTCTGCTACTTTTTCTTTTTAGAGTTTGTCATAAACCTCTCAGAGGGGCTTTCCACACTGTAATGCAAACATCTATATATTCTTAAAAAAAGTGATTCCCTTTGTTATCTATGATTTACAGAAAAGATTCTATTTCTCTACCCAAGAACAGATTACATTCACTCTCTAGGTCTCAGGGGTTCGTTCATCAGAAACTGGATTAGAATATTTAGTGCATGCTTCTGCTGTGCTTTTGTCCAGCCTCTATAACTACTATTGTCACGATAAGCACAGGTAATCATATCTATACGGCTCAGGCATTCAATATGAGGTCAATTGGAACCACATGAACGATTTTGTGGGTTAATTTTACCCAGACTGCAACTATATCCATTTTTTTTCTCATGGCAGTTCTTGTGCAAGTACAGAGACCTGTCTTGTTACTGAAACAGAACTGAATAGCTTTCACATCCATGACCAACACCAACATTAGCATGGAACAGAGTCTCTGTTGATGATCCAGTTGGATTTCTTGCTGGGAAATGCTTGTCTTCTTGTGACAGATCAGCTTATTATCCTTATATATATATACGTGTCAAAGATCTTTTGTTGGCTAGCTTCAGAACTAAAACCAGACCTACATTACGAGTTCAATTCCCATTGCTCTCAAGTGGGGTAGTTTGTTTTCCTGCTTAGAACCCGAGATACCATTTCATGTAATTGAATCAGTTTATAGTTTGTACAACCATCTACGACTAGAACATGATGAGAAAAAAGGTCCTGTAGTGAAAACTTTGGTCCATATTGGAGAAATGATGATGACCTGTTAGTTTAATCAAATGATGATAGAAAATTTCTTGTTATATCAAATCAAGCTATGGTTATGACAGGCGCCAGTGGCAAATCCACTGGTGAACTGGAGAAACCGACTTAAGACTTGAGAGATACTGTTGCTGCTTATAGCAAGTGTTGAGCGAGCTTGAAAAAGAAGAAATTGCAGAAGGATGCCAGAGTGGTCTTCATTAGGAAAATTTTGAACCGAAAATGATCTTTTTCATCAGGGGTTGTTGCTTAAGCTGGTTGAGTGGATGCCAAAACGGAGTTGGTCACTTCAGGGGTCAACTTGAAAAGATCCGAGAGCAGTATCTTTGTAGCCGGAGGAGCGCATCAAACAGTTAAATCCCATCCATTTTCTGCTGGTATCTGTATTGACGGAGCGAGAGCCCCACCATGAAGGCAGTGGATGTCTATCGTGCTGCTTTGGTCGTCATGGTCAAAGAAAAGTGAAGGTCTGAGGGCCCCCCCTCTATCCCATCGTCTTTGGTTACTTGTCCTTGAAACATTCCAAAGCTTGTTTCACTCGACTGTAGGTTGGACCCTTTTTCACCTTTGATCTCGAGGTTAAAAATGGAGTGTGCAGAGTCACCCCCATTGCACTCGTCATGATTGTTAAAAGGTTTTTGAGAGGACCCAAAGTGCCCAAGGCTGTCGGCACGAGGAAGCAGGAAAGATGCCTGATAGTGATTCCACAACAAACCTGAACTGATTTTGTAGGCCCCACAGGAATGAGAGCTCAACTGTAGTTTATTAGGAGGTGGAAACTGGAAAGGAAAGGTGGTGGTAGTGGTGTTCTCCGTTTTCTCTTCTACTCATTTTTACGTTCCAACATGTTGCAGATTTCTCCATTTCCTTGTCCAAGTGGTAATTTCATTATGTTCTCTGTTGTTTTCTACCATCTATGGACTATGGTTACTAGTTACAAGAAAGAAATCAATTAATAAATTGCTTGATGCAATGTTTTGGATTTTTATTTCCAGAGCACATTATAGCTAGCTCAGACAAAAATCATTGAAGAGATGGAAGAACGAATGAAAACTAGAAGGACGGGTTACAAAATGGAAATTGTATTCCAGGCCAACATACCATATGGATTGATTGAATAGATGGTCATCATTCCATTCCCCTCCATTAAACCAGTTCTTCTAATTTTGGAAATCCCACTGTCCTTCAGACCTTCACCATACATCTTTCAACAGTAATGCCAGTAAATTTTTCAAGAAGACTTGGCCATCATTTCCTCGTAACACATTCATAAGGACCCAAAAGCAAATTGAACTTTAGTTGGACTCTCAGCTGAAATCAGTGTCTCACTCCTCATCTCCCTTTCTGTCTTGATGTAAATTTCGGATTCACTCATCCACCTTGACACAGTAAAAGGAAAACAAAAACCCCAACTGGGTATGTTTTGTAAGAAACGTGAAAAATCAAATGCTCCTCTCACTTTTGAAGCGAGTACAGTGGATGAATCATGAACATGAATATGGTATTATTTGGGCTTTCTTTTTATCTTCTTACTCATTTGGCCTAGAGACAGTTTCCTGTCGGCAGGGTTCAGTAATGCTGACTGCTCACCAACTGGGGGAAGGGAGAGAGGGGTTGGGGTTACGCCCACTTACTAACTCCTCCCCATCTCTCTTTGTAGGGAAAGCCTTTTACACTCGTATGGTATGCCTCACCCCACTCAATGTTTTTGTAAAAGGGGAAAGGAGATATAATGATTAGTGTAGGACGACAATTTCTTTCTCTGAGAATCTTCTCCCCTTTCAACGTTCCCTAATTCACCTTTTCCTTCGTTGTTTTTCTTTTGGGGGTGGTTTTTCCTCATCTCCCCACCAAACATTTCTATTAATATTCTTTGAATTTTGAAAAACTATCCACATCTAGCCTGATAGAAGCAGAAGGCAACATTAATAGTCTTTTAACTCCTTTTGACCTCTACTTTTCTTCTCATCTAACTTGGTATCTGAGGTGAGCTTAGCTTAATTCTTGGCAATGTTTTAAAATTTGAATTTGTTGTTCATCAGAACTCAGAAGGATTACTGTAATCGCTTTCGGCTGCAGTGTGTTCTTTTCTGTAACTGGGGGCTTCTGACGTGGACTTAATTCTGCCATGTGGGTGGATGACATGGCAGACCAAATAGTCCAATCCATACATTTTTTTTGTCCACATCAGCAGCACCCTATGCCCATGGTTCCCCAAGGAATTATTCCAAAAATATTTTCAAAATTAATAACACAGTCTCCTCTCAACTCAAGATTTCAAAAAGTGAAACAGTAGGCCCCTGAACGTGTTGCAGCGCCATTGGGCATGTAGAAGAGAGTGATGGAGGAGAGATGTAGACATATTTTGGCCATAACTCAGCAGCCATGTGTTGAAATCTTATAGGAGTGACTACGTGGAAATGGAACAGATATATCTTGGGCTGATTCTAGCTGCCACGCGTCAAATTTGTAGGAATGGGAAAGGTAATTCTATTTACTGTAGTGGTACTAAAGTCAGGGAGTGCTGAGTTGGGGGCACATCACATTTTTCGTATTGAAGCCAAACAAAAGCGAACCCATTCACAGACAAACCAAAAATTCTATGGTGGCATTTTTGTCTTTTCAAGCTGGTACTCTACTGTTATTATTTATTAATTAGGGCTGGAGGCCTGGAGCCCTATTAAATATTAATTAGGGCGGGAGGCCTGGAATTTGCCAGAATTTGCCAAATTCTGGATGTGGATCTAAACTAGGAAATGGGCTGTATCCAATTAATCCCTCAGTTGGAAAAATCACAACCATAAGATTTTAGCTTAGCATGGACCACAACTTGCACTGTCCTCTCTCAAGGAGGACTATACAAAGCATAGCTTTCGAACCGCAGTTAAACCGGATGGTTGGACCATTTGGCTTGGAAATTGTTTAGATAATTAGATTTCATTTTACCTTAAATCCGGTTCTTGACTAAAAACCATTGAATCGGTCAATGATCCGTTGATCTGGACAGTCGAACTGTCAATTTGTTGACCTGCTCAATAATTTTTGACTATTTTTTATTTTTATTGTCAGGAACGGGCCATCCATTCAAACCAGATGACCGAACCGTCGACCTGGAAACTGGTGGCCAGAAAGATTCCATTGCCGGGTCATTTTTTAAAACCATTATACAAAGCCCCATTTTTAGAATATTTGTATCACATGCAATTAAAATAATGGGATATTTTCCATTATATAATCTCATTTTAAGGCATTCTCTTAGATCAGTAAACATTCTAGTTTGCCTGAATTCAAATATTCAACTTTACATGAAAAGAAATGCACAAAAATCCTTCCCCAAGAAAGTGCATGAAACCTAAAAGTTAGAAAAATTAAAACAAGAATATGGTTGTTTTTTTTTTTGGTATGTATGATGTATGTGACTGTGTATGTGGGTCATTTTCTATTGTTTTCTTATTTTGGTTTGCTTTATTTTCTATGAGCAGTTACAAAACTAAGACTCAGATGGTAAATTTGCAAGCAGTGATTAAAAGGATTTGAAATAGGAGAACTGTTGTACTTCTATTACATCATTAATCCACTTTCATTTAATTATTCACATTTGGGTGTGGGCAGGAGGAAGGGGCTTGGTGTAAGCAAATGAGGTGAAGGGCTGTGAATGAAATATATATAATTTTTTTCATGTAATATTAGGTGTAAATGAATTAGGTCTATGTACTTGGGGGACATACATGTATTGAGGGATGTA